CAACGACTGAGTCGTGCCAAGAGAATGATATGGGCACACCTGTGAGGAATTTTTGCTTAAACATTTGAAGCAGAAAGATTCCCTTCTAATCTTCATCTCGAGGTGGGAAGACAAACCTTTAATCAGATCTTTTGAGGTGGGAAGACTCACCTTTAATTTGAGCTATACCGTCTGCTGGAAGCTTCTATACAAGTCTCCCTCTCTGCCTGCTAGCTCTCACCCTCACTAGCAAGTCCACTCCTTCACTGGCATTAGAACCTATTTCTTTGAGATTCTGTTGTATACTGAAGACCAGTTGAGATGCCCAGCCTTATGAATAAAAAAACTACTGGATTCTTGACCTTCCATTCATAGGCACCCATTGTTAGACTAGCTGGACCACAGCCTGTAAGTCAGTCTAATAAATCCCACATATCTATTCATTCATTAATTCATATATATATTCATTAATTCACTCTGTAAGTTTTGTTATTCTAGAGAACCCTGACTAATATACTCAGTCCTTTATTTCTGTTATATCAAAGCTAATTCTGTAACCCGATATGTCCCTATGATTGCATTTGGAGTTTACTTCAATAATCTAGAGTAACAGTTTCAACTCAAGTTTCTTAATTTAACTACACCTGCAAAATTCTTTTGCCATATAAGGTAATGTTCATAGGTACTAAGAGACCAGTACCTGAAGTTCAGAAATGTTGAATTGTCTTATTTTTTTACTCCCAGCCCTTGAATCACTTTCAGTTAACAGTGTTGCAATTTGTCTAATACAAAAATTCATCATCAAATTTAATAAAATAATAACTATTTACAAAATATAGTAAATTAAGGAATTATTATAATAATTTGTTTACTACATGAAAAAGTATAAAAGGCCTAAAACAAGTTCCTTGATCACTACTCTATATAAAATTAGCGTGTCTTCAAAATAGAAATATAAGTCCTAAGAAAGGGGAGAACATGGTAGTCAAATATACATTTAGAATAAGGATATAATATTATCTGAAAACAAGTATGTGCTACATGACAAAGTATGCATAAAGTACATCTAAAATTATCAACCTCAAAAATGATGGGTTCAGAAACTGAATTCCAGAGACTAAATTCCTTTTTGGATCCAATTAAAGTAGCAGGTTAATAGAAAGAAACCAGCCAGCATCACATAACACTTTAATTCTAGTAAGCTGGCCAACCTCCTTACCTAGACTGGAATAAAGGTGGCTAAGAATACGAGCTGGCTGTACTCTGATAGGGTACACCTCGGCAATGGTCTCCACATCAATTCCTTTGTCCTTCAAAATGGCCTTGATTTCTTCTGTTTCAGCTAGAATGGGACACTATCGGAAAGAAAGATGAAGTTAACAGAAGGTTTTTGTTCAGTAGAAACTTTAAAAATATTTTTTAGATTTATTTTCATGTGTATGAGTATTTTGCCTATATGTATGTCTGTCCACGCATCGTATGCTACCCTGGTGCCAATGGAGGTCAGAAGAGGGTATTGGATCCCCTAAAATTGGAGTTATGAACAGTTATAAGCCACCATGTGGATTCTGGGAAGTGAACCTGGTCCCGGTAGGTCCCCTGGAAGAACAAGTGCTTCCAATAGTTAAGCTGAGTCATCTCTTCAGACCCTTAAAAATATTTTCAAGTGCATAATTTCTTTTAGAGGAGGAAAGAGGAGGAAATTATTGCTAAGGAATTCTGACTAATCAGTAATTATTCTAGATTAAAATATTACATAAATGGGAAAGTAATAACACGACTAGAGACTTGATTTTTGACTAGGTACCTATTTGTGCCTACTGAAAGGCACTTTCAGTATTTATGAGACTCCATGTTGAAATGGAAAATTTTAACCACAAGATGGCTCAGTATTTAAGAGCTCTTGCTTTTCCAGAGGACCCAGGTTCTGTTCCCAATGCCCACATGGTGGCTTAGAACCAACTATCTGTAACTCAGTTCCAGGAGATCTGATGTCATCTGAGGGCACCAGGTACACATACTGGTGCACAGACATACGTGAAGACAAGGCACCCATATGCACTAAAATATAAATAAATAAAGGAAGGTAGCCTGAAAGAGCTGGTGGCTAACTGGACTTGAAATAATGAGTAAAATGGTCAGGAGGAAAAAAATGAATGAGGGGCTGAAGAGACAGACCAGCAATTAAGAGCACTGGCATCTCATCCAGAGGGCCCAGGGTTAGTCCTCAGTACCCACATGATAGCTCATAAACTTCTTTAACTCCAGTTCCAAAGGATCTGATTCCCTCTTCGGGACTCCACAGGCACCAGGTACTCACATACATCCAGGCAAAATGCCCATACGCATAACTGTTTTAAAGTTGATAGGAATGTTGGGGAGGACAGTAGCAAACCTACACAGACTTCAATGTTATAGTATGAAAGATCTTACCAAACAGTAAAAGACATGAAAATGGAAAAGTAGATAGGGGTTAGGCTAATCATGGAAGAATAGGTGTTATTTTAAAGTTTTGTATATTATTGTTGGGAACTGTTTCCCAAGCTGCGTTCTATAGAACTGCAGGGTTCTATAGGGAGCAATAGAGTTGTTTACAGGAACAGAAGGGGTTAAAGGAGAAGCAAGCAAATAACCCTTTGAGACACTAGGAGTACATTCAACCCAAGCAACTAAATTCTTGTTTATATTTATAAAATATTTAGAGTCAAATGTCAGATGCTACGGATATATACATAGGCATAATGAGTCCTGATGGAGAACAGAAAGGAGTTATTCTGAGAGAGGTGATGGTAAAAATAAGGGAGAAACTGTTTCAGATTAAAGAGACAGCATGTACAAAGTTACAAAAAGTTAGCTTTTATTGTTTTGCTTCCTATTGTGCTAGGGAATGAATCCAAGCCTTCACAGAACAGTCAGCCACTTGTACCACTGAACTAAACCCACAGCTCTGAAAATTCCTTTGTAATAGGAATGGAGTGTGGAGGAACAGTGGTGAGAAATGAAGTAAAATACAAGGTCCAGTGTTAGATCATACAGAGTCCTTGTAAGCCATACCGAGAGAGCTAAGATAGGAAGCCCCTGCAGAGTTGTACCTTAAAAATAATACACTCAATAATTAAAGAATGAATGGCCATTTCTTTGTGTGGTCTACAGTAATTTTTAAAAGAATCGAATGAATTGACAGGCATTACTGGGCCTCGACGGAAGGCAAACATCAGTTCAAAATTAATGTAATGTAAGGAGGAGATGTTGATAACTTACATTAATAGTAAGCTATTGGAATTGTCAAAAACAGGATGGATTTCAGAATGACTGGAGAAGTAAAATTCTAGAACTTGTTATATAAATACAGAATATCAGAGAAGAATAAATATGAATTGAAAGTGTTCATTTGTGTAGCTGGGAGTATCATGTGCCATTTAATGATAGAGGTGCAGAAGGAATCGTAGGCATAGATGATGCAGTAGGAGGAACCAGCTGATCAAATTTAGTTATGTTTAGTCTACAGTGCATGGAAACATGTGGGACTGTCAGAAGACATTAGAAACAGATGAGATGGGACAAAAATATATTATCAAGAGAAGAGGACCCAGAATATAACTTTGAGAAAATTCAGGACTAGATAGATAGCAAAGTCTGGGGGGGGGGAAGGATAAGTTATTGTCTTATAGCTTATATTTTCTTTCTAGCACAGGAAGTAGGGTCATCATGTGAAAGTGAAGGAAGACTGAAGAAGGTGGGGAATATGACTAATTATTAGGAGCAAGACAAGTGGTAGGCTATGGACAGAATTCCCAGAAATACCAATAGTTCAAGGGAAAAGGAAGAAAAGAAAGTCCAGAATAAGGTAGAAAAGTACTTAAAACAGGTTGAAGGAGATATACAAAAGCATAACATGGACACTCTGGAAATTCAGTTTCTAGAATGATAAATAACAAGTTGATCTAAAAGATCTGCTGCTAATATACCGATTATAAAATATCTATTAATACTGACAATACCAAGGTCTCTGGAAACTAAGCAAGAATATTTTCAGAGTATTAAACCAGGCTCTAAAGGTCTGGAGAATTAATAGACTATGAAGAGACAGAAATATCAATGTGAAAAGAAGCCACAAATGGAGATTAACATAGTAGATAAAGAAACTGGATTGGGGGAAGTCTTAATATTTCAAAAAGGATTGTTTGTAAAGAAGAATATAGGATGAAGCACCAACAGGGAAATTTGTATTGAATAGGAGAGCACCTTTTTCTGAGACTAGAAAAAAGAAAGCAAGGATGGGTAAGAATGCTGGGGGTGGGAAGTGTTGGGAAATTGAAAAAAAATCAGAATATTAGAATAATCAGGCATGAAGTATCAGTCCAAATATTAGGTTGAAAACAGGGCACAGCTGAACAAAATCGAGTACTTTGTTATACTGGCTGTGAATAAAGAAAATACTGACTAAAGATAAGAACAAAGACTAACAAACCAGAAGTTGAGTTGGGAACCATGGTTGTTCAATGCCACCACTCTGCTCATCATGTGCTTTTCCCTTATAATATCTTTTAGTAGGTATAGGATAAGAAAGTGTAGACCACATGATTGCTCTAGAACTATAACACTTTGGGAGATAGAGCAGAAGTATGAGGCAGCAGTAATTGGAGTAGTTAGATGATCAAAATATTGAGATGATCTTTAGGTACAAAGAGCAGACTTACAGAAATTAGAGACAACTTTAAAAGGAAGAAAAAGAAAGCTGAGATGCATTGTTAGCAGAACACAAGAATACCTATAAGGTCCAAAATTTGACCAGTGGTGTGTATGGTGGTTTGAATGAGAAGGGCCCCAGAGGCCTTATTTAAATGCTTAGTCTCCATTAGTGGAAACATTTGGGAAGGATTAAGAGGTATGGCCTTTTTGAAGGAAGTGTGTCAGAGGAAGTAGCAAAAGTCCACGTCATTCTCAGCTAGTTCTCTCTCTTTCTGCCATCTATCTGTTGATATGAATGTATGCTCTCAGCTAGTGCTCCAGCATCATGCCTGACTGCCTGTTGTCATGCTCTCCAATGTGATGCTCATGAACTCTAACCTTCTGGAAGTCTAAGCCCCAAATTAAATGATTTCTTTTATAAGCTGCCTTAGTCATGGTGTTTGGTCATAAGAGCAAAAGGAAAAGTAACTAGAATGGGGTACCAAACATAGAGGTACAGAGAAAGGGTTCTAGAGTCATGATATTAAAAAATTTTAAGGTTAAAAATAGTAGATTAAATCCATACCAATGCTGAAATCTAGTTTTATGACAGAATTTGGGGAAGAGAAAGAAGGCTGTGAATTGAACCTCAAAGTCATAAACTATGAATTAGAACAAAGAGAATATCAGCACAGCTAGAAGGTTTAAACCTCAAAGGAAAACATACCTTCTCATGGGGGATGAAGAATAATGGTTGAAGTCCAATTTCTGTCTCTTGGTTTTTATTATTCATGCTACACTTTATAAAACATTTGCTAGAGACACTGAGAAGCAAAGACTACCTATATGATCACACAGAGTGTCAAGTATAAGATGCTTTAGAAAACATGTTGGATTTTCCATTCAGAATCAACCGAAAAGTCAAATGACTAGGAATATCTTAAGAAGCTTTACAGCAGGACACACCATATTCAGGAGTGATGTTGGAGAGTGAAAATTCACATCAAGATGTCTACTCTCACAAACAAGGACGATGGTTAATATTTTCAAAAGAAACAAGGAAGGTAAAAATATTGACCTTTTCTGGGAGAGGTAAAAGGAGGGGAGGATGACAAAAGAGGCCAGCTTTGTGTTCATCATATAAAGATTATTCACAGATATTAGACTAGGATAGTTGTCCTTTGAGAAAGGGTCCCTGTGGTTTTGAATCAAAATGCCCCCCACAGGCTCACAGGCATTATTTGAAAGGATTAGGATGTGTGGACTTTGTTGGACTGCCTGTTGGAGGAAGTGTGTCACTTGGGGTAGGCTTTAAGATTTCAGAAGCCCAAGCCAGAGTCAGTGGCTCACTCCCTTTTCTTGCTGCCTGCTGATTCCAATATAGAACTCTTAGCTACCTCTCCAGCACTATGTCTGCCTGTGTGCTACCATGCTTCTCACCAGGATAATGGATGAAACCTTTGAAGTATAAGCCAGTTCCAATTAAATGTTTTTCCTTTAGAAGGATTGCTATGGTTGTGGTGTCTCTTCACAGCAATAGAAACCCTAAGACAGTCTGGTAATGTATCCTTGGCTGTCCTGGAACTCTTGATATGGAACAAGCTACTATTGAACTCACAGTGATTTGCCTGCCTTTGGTTCCCAAGTGCTATGATTAAACACATGTACTACCACACACACCCAAAGACTTGGATTTCTTAATGTTTAGAGTATTCAGCTCAGTGTTTTGCATAATGTATATACCTTCACATTTAAAAAATTGTAGACATACTCCCCAGTGAGGCAATGGTCAGAAGCAAATGAACTATGAGGGATGCAGGTCTAACAGTCTAAAACAGAGAAAATATAAATGCGTAGGAGGTTATGAAAATAAAGGAATACTAGCATGAAAAACAGAAAATGTGGTTAAAAAGAAAGTAACAGTAACCAGGGGAATAACATATCATGAAATTTTAAAGTTTCCAGAAATAAGTCGTATCAAATATTTTATAATCTTCTGAGATCATCTTTTATTTGTTTATTATTAACCGTAATTTTGAAACAAAATTGAACCACATTTATTACATACTTTTTGAACCCTAACACAAAGTCCCCAAATCTTTCCCCCTAATCAGACCTTTAATATAAAATTTCTATTGCTGGGAGTAATACATACCTTGAACCACCACATCTGGCTTTGGCACAGTAGAAAACCTACGATTCAGGGGATCAATTTCTCCAGGAGCTAAAAATCCCTGAAGAAAATGCACAAAACAAAATTAATAAGCCTCAAAAATAAAGCAAAGGCAATGGAGAGATAGCTCAGAAGTTAAATGGAAAGGGAAAAGGAGGTCAGTACAAAGGGAGACAAAAGGTGAAGGGATAAATAATATTAAGGATGTTTGAAAAGGCCACAGGAACATTTCATGCTTACTTAAACATACATATAGTGTGTGTGTGTGTGTGAGAGAGAGAGAGAGAGGATATATGTGTGTGTATGTGTATGCATGCGCGTGCACACGTATGTGTGTATACACACACGCGCGCGCGTCACACACACACGCGCACACACACACACACACACACACACACTACTGCAATCTCCCTTGGCTGCCTCTTAGAACTTGAAGGTAAGACCCAATAGCTGAGACACCATACAATCAGGAATCAACTGAGCTGGAACTGACCTGAAAGCTTCCTACCTGATGATTAGATCTCTAAATGACAAAAGTGCCATGCAAGCTGCTAAGGAAGAAAACCAATCAATAGTCCTGACCAGCTGTGAAACTATGAACCACAATGACCCCAAGGTCCAGTAGTGGTACATATCTCATGGAAGCAAACAACAGATGTCTAACTGGACTTAAGGCCAACCCAGTATGAAGAAACTCCTTTTGTCTGTGAGGTCCCTGGCCAGCAAGGGGCCCTGATCCTGTATCAGAAGATCCATCGGAGATCATTTGAAGGAAGAGATGGGCAGGCACCAATTCAAGAATTCCTCTAACAATCTGAAAAACAACATGAAAACACCAGAACCCAGCGAACTTACAACAGGAGGACTTGAACACCCTAATCCAGAAGAAGTAGAAAAAATTGACATTATGAAAGTGAAAGAGTCCCTTAAACAGGAGGTGAAAAACTCCCTTAAAGAAATGGATGAGGGGCCGGGCGGTGGTGGCGCACGCCTTTAATCCCAGCACTCGGGAGGCAGAGGCAGGCGGATCTCTGTGAGTTCGAGACCAGCCTGGTCTACAAGAGCTAGTTCCAGGACAGGCTCCAAAACCACAGAGAAACCCTGTCTCGAAAAAACCAAAAAAAAAAAAAAAAGAAATGGATGAGAAGAATAACAAAAAGTTTGAAGAAATGAGTAAATCCATAAAAGATACCCTAGGAAACCAAGAAAAAAAAAACAATCAAACAGATAATGGAAACAGTTCAAGACTTGAAAACTGAAATGGAGGCAATGAAGAAAACATAAACCGAGGGCTGGCTGGATATGGAAAATCTAGGTAAAAGAACAGAGACTACAGAGACAAGTATAACCAACAGAATACAAGAGATAGAAGAAAGAATCTCAGATTCTGAAGACACCATAGAAAAAATAAACGCACTAGTCAAAGAAAACAGCAAATCCAACAAATTCTCATCACAAAACATTCAGGAAATCTGGGACACAATAAAAAGACCAAACCTAAGAATAATAGGTGTAGAAAAAGGAGAATTACAGCTCAAAGGCCCAGAAAATATATTCAACAAAATTATAGAAGAAAACTTTCCCAACCTAAAGAAAGACATTCCTATGAGGGTTCAAGAAGCATACAGAACACAAAATAGACTGGATCCAAAAAAAAAATCCCCTCGCCATAAAATAATCGAAACACAAGACATACAGAATAAAGAAAGAATATTAAGAGCTGCAAAGGAAAAAGGTCCAGTAACTTATAAAGGTAAACCTATCAGACTTACATTTGACTTCTCTATGGAAACCATGAAAGCCGGAAGGTCCTGGATAGATGTACTGCAGTAACTAAGAGACCCAGACTACTATACCCAGCCAAGCTTTTGTTCACTATCAATGGAGAAAACAAAATATTCCAGGATAAAAACAAATGTAAACAATACGTAGCCACAAATCCAGCCTTACAGAAAGGAATAGAAGGAAAATCACAAACCAAGGAATCTAACAATGCCCACAATAACTCAGACATCTAGCGACTCTTCATGAGCACAACTCAAAGAAGGGAAACACAGACTACTACCCAAAACAACATTAATAAACCGGAGTTAACAACCACTAGTCATTAATATCACTTAATGTCAATGGACTCAATTCACCTATAAAAAGGCACAGGCTAAGAGATTGGATACGAAAACAGGATTCAACATTCTGCTGTTTACAAGAAACACACCTCAACCACAAAGACAGACATCTACCCAGAGTAAAGGGTTGGGAAAAGGGTTTTCAAGCAAATGGACCCAAGAAACAAGCGGGCGTGGCCATACTAATTTCTAACAAAATTGACTTCAAACTAAAATCAATCAGAAGAGATGGAGATGGACATTTTATACTCATAACAAGAACAATTCATCAGGATGACGTCTCAATCCTGAATATCTATGCCCCTAATATAAAAGCACCCACTTATGTAAAAGAAGCATTGCTAGAACTCAAAGGCAGACATCAATCCACACACACTAATAGTAGGAGACTTCAACACTCCTCTCTCACCAATGGACAGATCAATCAGTCAGAAACCTAACAGAGAGATAAGAGAATTAATGGAGGTAATGAATCAAATGGACTTCTATAGAACATTCCACCCAAATAGGAAAGAATATACCTTCTCACATCTCATGGAACCTTCTTGAAAATTGACCACATACTCGGTAACAAAGCAAACTTCCACAGATACAAAAAAAATATTAGTAACCACCTGTGTCTTATCAGATCAACATGGAATAAAGTTAGAATTTAACAATAATTCTACCCCCAGAAAGCCTACAAATTCTTGGAAGCTGAACAGTCAACTACTGAACCACCCCTGGGTCAGGGAAGAAATAAAGAAAGAAATTAAAGTCTTCCTTGAATTCAACGAAAATAAAGACACAACATACACAAACCTATGGGACACTATAAAAACAGTGCTAAGAGGAAAGTTCATAGCTCTAAGTGCCCACATTAAAAAAACGGAGAAAGCTCATATTAGAGAATTAAGAGCACACCTGAAAGCTCTAGAAAAAAAAGAAGCAGACTCACCCAGGAGGAGTAGAAGACTGGAAATAATAAAATTGAGGGCTGAAATCAACAAAATAGAAACACAGAAAACAATCCAAAGAATCAATGAATCAAAGAGCTGGTTCTTTGAGAAAGTCAACAAGATTGACAAACCTTTATCCAAACTAATCAAATGGCAGAGAGAGAACATACAAATTAACAAGATCAGAAATAAAAAGGGGGACATAACAATGGATACTGTGGAAATTCAGAGAATCATTAGTTCTTACTACAAAAGCCTGTATGCCACAAAATTGGAAAATGTAAAAGAAATGGACTTTTTAGATAAGTACCATTTACCAAAATTAAATCAAGACCAGGTGAACAATTTAAATAGACCTATAAGTTGTGAGGAAATAGAAGCTGTCATAAAAAAAAACTCCCAACCAAAAAAAAAAAAAAAAAGCCCAGGACCTGATGGTTTTAATGCAGAATTTTATCAGAACTTCCAAGAAGAGCTGATACCTATGCTCCTTAATGAGTTTCACATAATAGAACCAGAGGAGTCATTGCCAAACTCTTTTTACAAAGCTACAGTCACCCTGATTTCAAAACCTCACAAAGACCCATCCATGAAAGAGAATTACAGACCAATCTCACTCATGAACATTGATGCAAAAATTCCCCAATAAAATTCCGGCAAACAGAATCCAAGAACACATTAAAAAATTATCCATTATGATCAAGTAGGCTTCATCCCTGAGATGCAGGGCTGGTTCAACATACAAAAGTCTATCAATGTAATCCATCACATAAATAAATTGAAAGAAAAAACCATATGATCATTTCATTAGATGCGGAAAAAGCATTTAACAAAATTCAACACCCCTTTATGATAAAGGTTTTGGAGAGGTTAGAGATACAAGGATCATACCTAAATATAATAAAAGCAATATATAGCAAGCCAACAGCTAATATAAAATTAAATGGAGAGAAACTCAAAGCCATTGCACTAAAATCAGGAACACGACAAGGCTGTCCACTCTCTCCATACCTCTTCAATATAGTGCTTGAAGTTCTAGCAATAGCAATAAGACAAAATAAGGAGATCAAGGGGATTCGAATTGGAAAGGAAGAAGTCAAACTTTCATGATTTGCAGATGATATGATAGTGTACATTAGTGACCCCCAAACCTCTACCAAAGAACTCCTACAGCTGATAAATAAGTTCAGTGAAGTGGCAGGTTAAAGATCAACTCAAAAAAAAAATCAGTAGCCATCCTATACACAAAAGATAGAGAAGCAGAGAGGGAATTCAGAGAAACTTCAACTTTTACAATAGCCACAAATAGCATAAAGTATTTTGGGGTAACACTAACCAAGGAAGTGAAAGATCAATTTGACAAGAACTTTAAGGCATTGAAGAAAGAAATTGAAGAGGACACCAGAAAATGGAAAGACCTCCCATGCTCTTGTATGGGTAGGGTCAATATAGTAAAAATGGCAATTCGACCAAAGGCAATCTATAAATTGAATGCAATCCCCATTAAAATCCCAACAAAATTCTTCACAGACCTTGAGAGAACAATAATCAACTTTATATGGAAAAACAAAAAACCCAAGATAGCCAAAACAATCTTATACAATAAAGGAACTTCTGGAGGCATTACCTCCATCCCTGACTTCAAACTCTATTACAGAGCTACAATAATGAAAACAGCATGGTATTATAAAAAACGGAGACGTCGACCAATGGAATCGAGTAGAAGACCCGGATTTTAACCTACAAACCTATGAATACCTGATTTTTGACAAAGGAGCTAAAATTATACAATGAAAGAAAGAAAGCATCTTCAACAAATGGTGCTGGCAGAACTGGATTTCAACCTGTAGAAGAATGAAAATAGACCCATATCTATCACCATGCACAAATCTCCCATGCACAAATCTCAAGTCCAAATGGATTAAAGACCTCAATATCAATCTGAACACACTGAAACTGATAGAAGAGAAAGTGGGAAGTACCCTACAACAGATGGG